TTTGGAGAGGCAGAAAGAGAGTAGCAGGCCAAGGCTGAGCCTGAATACCTGGGTGAGGGATTTGGGTTTGATCCCAAGAGCCATGGGAACATGGAGGGTTCAATCCAGGGAGGGATAGAATCTGGTTTAGCTTGTGGAGTTTCTCCAGCTGCCCTGAGCTGAATGGAGAGTGGAAAGCAGAAGGTTTTTGTTTTGCCTGAAGAGTGTCTGGCAGTTTTATTCTTAGGGAGAACGGCACAGTGCCCTGAGCCCTGAATCCCTTGAACATGGTGGGACTTGGCGGTGGAGGAAAGGAGTATCTGGCAGAGAGAATAAGCCAGGAAACATCAGCCAGGAATAGCCATGTGGGATCTGAGAGTGTCTGTCTCCTAAGATGAGGACTCAGTGATGCATTCCTCATCTTAGGTTGTCACCCTCCCAGTCCCTGGCAGCATGGACGCTGAAAGGTGCAGGTAGGACTGGTGTAGGCAGAAATCATGTTTCCAAAGAGCGCTTCTCACCTTCTACCAGAGAAATCATCAACACAGATTGATAAGAATGAGCGTCCCCAGGATTTCCCTGATGGTCCAATGTATAAGAATCGAGGGGACATGGATTTGATCCCTAGTCTGGGAAGATTCCACATGCCACAGAGCAACTAAGCCCATGGGCCACAACAACCGAAGCCCATGTGCCTACGGCCCATGTGCCACAACAAGGGAAACCACTGCAGTGAGAAAGCCTGTGCATCGCAATGAAGAGCAGCCCACACTCACTGCAGCTAGAGAAAGCCCGAGCACAGCACCGAAGAGCCAGTGCAAGCAAAAAGAAAGAAAGAAAGAGAACACTCATCCATGGCTGAGAGTCCCTTGGCTGGTGTGTTTCTTGCCAGGTGGAGCCCATGACTGGTGGTCATGTGTCTCTTAGCCAGTGGGCTACATCCCAGGGAGGCCATTGCTCCCACTGCTCCGTCTCACTAACGGTTTAATGTGCAACCCTGACCAGAGCCATTCTTTGGTGGGGTTTCAGCAAGTGAGAGTGAACTGCAAGCGCTGTGCCACCTGCCGCTCTCTCCAGGGGCTCACCCAACTTCTGAAATTCCTTTGAATTAACATTCTAGAGTTTTCTTTGTCCACAAAACCAGATATAAGCGTAGGGCTAGGAGAAAAGCTGGAAATAGAGCTAGGTACTTGTGCCTGCAACCTGCCTACGGTAAAAGATTAATAAAAAGAAATGTCAATCAAGTAGAGTTAGGATGCCAGAAGGGGGCACTCTGGTACCTTAAATCAACAGCAGAGTACTACAGGAAGAAGAAAGATTCCCCTCCTCTTACCTGGGGGTTTCCTTGGTGACTTGGATGGTAAAGAATCTGCCTCCAAAGCAGGAGACTGGGGTTTGATGCCTGGGTTGGGAAGATCCCGTGAAGAAGGGAATGACTACCCGCTCCAGGGTTCTTGGCTGGAGAATCCCATGGACAGAGGAGCCTGGCAGGCTACAGTCCATGGGGTCACAAAGAGTCAGGCATGACTGAGTGATTAACAATTGCTGGAGAAATATCTGGCAGTCTACTTGTTTCAAGACAACACTACTGCGTGCTTATTCTGTAAAAGAATCAGTTTTCTTCTCTGTTACTTGCAACCAATGACTACAGATGGATTCCTGCGTTCTTACCAAAATTTGCTGGCAGTAGTCTTTTTAATTTTGGTTTCAGTTTGAATTTCCCTAATGACAAAGGATATTAATCATCTTGCACATGCTGTGGCCGTGTGGAAATTACATTTTGTGAAATGCATGTTCATGATTTTTTTGCTCATTAAAAAAGCTGAACTGCTTGTTTTTTCTTATTGCAAATTTTTTTTTTCAATTTGTAACAACTTTTCACCTTCTTAGTGGTGTCTTCACAAGCAGAAGTATTAAATTTTAATAAAATCCAACTGTCATTTTTATTATTGTGCTTAGGTTTTTTTCAGTCTTATATAATAAATCTTTGTCTACCTATGCAAAGGTTATAAAAAATACTCTCCTGTGCTTTCTCATAGAAGCTTTATATTAAGTTTTAGCTTTCACATCTAGGTCTGTGGTCATCCTGAATTAATTTTGTAGCTAGCACAGTTCTCGTGTACAACTCTTTTATGACTCCAGCCAACTGTAACCTGCCAGGATGCTCTGTCCATGGGATTTCCTAGGCAAGAATACTGGCATGGGTTGCCATTTCCTCCTCCAGGGGGTCTTCCCAACCCAGGGATCGAGCCCATGCTTCCTGCATTGGCAGGCGGGTTCTTTACCACTGAGCCACCAGCAAAGCCCCCTCAGATGGTCCCCTCAGAGCTAATGAGAGACTGTTTCCTGGGATATAGTTCTCAGTAAGTTCCCTGAATAAAACCTAAATTCACAGCTCTTACGCATTTTTCTTTAAGTCTTAACAAACGTCTCTATAAAAACCCCAAAGGATGATTCAGAGAGCTTCCGGGCTGGCGAACATGTGAAGGTGCTAAGAGGGTGTTTCCCCTAAAGAGAACATGGAAGCTCTGTGACCTTTCCCCAGACCTTGCACTGTGCATCTTTTCCATCTGATTGTTCCTGAGTTACATCCTTTTATAATAAGCTGGTAATCTACTAAGATCTACTGAAAAAGATCTTAATAACCCAGATAACCACAATGGTGTGATCACTCACCTAGAGCCAGGCATCCTGGAATGTGAAGTCAAGTGGGCCTTAGGAAGCATCAGTATGAACAAAGCTAGTGAAGGTGATGGAATTCCAGCTGAACTTTTGCAAATCCTCAAAAAATGATGCTGTGAAAGTGCTGCACTCAATATGCCAGCAAATTTGGAAAAGTCAGCAGTGGCCACAGGACTGGAAAAGTCAGTTTTCATTCCAATCCCTAAGAAACGCAATGCCAAAGAATGTTCAAACTATCGCACAATTGCACTCATTTCAGACACTAGCAAAGTAATGCTCAAAATTCTCCAAGCCAGGCTAAAACAGTACATGAACTGAGAACTTGCAGATGTTCANCTCCTTGGAAGAAAAGCTCTGACCAACCTAGACAGCCTATTAAAAAGCAGAGACATTACTTTGCCAACAAAGTTCCATCTAGTCAAAGCTAGGGTTTTTCCAGTAGTCATGTATGGATGTGAGAGTTGGACCTTAATGAAAGCTGAGTGCCAAAGAATTGATGCTCTTGAACTATGGTATTGGAGAAGAATCTTGAGAGTTCCTTGGACAACAAGGAGATCAAACCAGTCAATCCTAAAGGAAATCAGTCCTGAATATTCATTGGAAGGACATGCTGAAGTTGAAGCTCCAATACTTTGGCCACATGATGGGAAGAACTGACTCATTTGAAAAGACCCTGATGTGGGAAAGATTGAAGGCAAGAGGAGAAGAGGATGACGTAGGATGAGATGGTTGGATGGTATCACCGACTCTATAGACGTTGAATTTGAGCAAGCTCTGGGAGTTGGTGATGGACAGGGAAGCCTGGTGTACTGCAGTCCATGGGGTCACAAAGAGTTGGACACGACTGAGTGACTGAACTGAACTGAACTGTATCTACTAAGTAAGTTGTTTCTCTGAATTCTATGAGCCACTCTAATTAATCAGTCCTGAGGAGGAGATTGTAAGAACCTCTGATTTACAACCAGTCAGTTAGACATACAGGTAACAACCCAGACTGGGGACTGGTGTCTGAAGTCTCAGGAAAAGGTTGTGGAAAACCTCAATCTGTACCTGGGTGGTCAGGCTTGTGACTGACATCTGAAGTGGTTGGGGAAGGTGGGAGGTGCCTTGTAGGACAGAGCCCTCAAACTGTGGAATTTGATGCTAGCACCAAGCAGTGTCAGAATTGAGTTTAATTGTAGGACATCCTGGAGAAGGAAATGACATCCCACTCCAGTACTCTTGCATAGAAAATTCCATGGACAGAGAAGCCTGGTGGGCTATGATCCATGGGGTCCCAAAAAGTTGGATACAACTGAGTGACTGACATGCACATAGGACATCCAGCTAGTGTCTGAGGGTAGCTTATTAAGTGTGGGGATCACCCCTCCAAAATTGGAGCTGGCAACAGAGCCTATTCAGAGATATTTTACATTCAATTTAGACATGGGACTCTTTTAAAAACAGAATCCAGAGTCGTGTTCTCCCTGTTTAATGCCTATAATAGCTTCACTTCACATTTAAAACCCAACCTTCTTCCTGTGACCTTCCAGCCTCTCTGTGACCTGCCTCCTGCCCACCCTCTGAACTTATTCTGCATCACTCCCATTGCTCCACCCCAATCCCACTAGTCTTCTTTTTCTTCTGGGGACAAGCCAGGCTCCTTCCTGCCCTGGGGACTTTGCACTTGCTGTTCTGCTTAGAACTCTCTTCCAGAACTTTCTAAGGCTCTCCCCTCCTCTCACTTCAGACCACAACTCAGGTATCAGCTCTCCAGTCAGGGTTTTCCTTAGCCACTCTGTCATAAGTTCCTCTTCCTACTCTCCCAATTTTTTTCTTCTTCATAATGTTAACACTACCTAGAACTGTGCTGTCCAGGACAGTGGCCATTAACCATATGTGGCAAATTTAATTTAAATTAATTATAATTAAGTTACATTAAACATTGAGCTCCTTAGTTGCACTTAGCCTCATTTCAAGTGCTCAACAGTCACCTGTGACTGGTAGGTACCATATTGGACAGAGTGGATTAGTGGATTACAAAGCATTTCTTCTCATTGCCAAATGTTCTGTTAGACAGAGTGGACCCAGACCCATCTTCTTGCTTTACATTTTACCCTTTTTTCTGTGTCCTCTCAAAATAGAGCAAGTTCTATGGAGGTAGATCCCTCATCTCTTGAATCAGCACTGAATCACCAAGGCCTAAAACTGCCTGGCACAGTAGAGTGGTTGCCCAATAAATGATTTGCATATTCACCGAATGTGTAAATAAGCCCATGGAACTCTGACATGGACATGCAGGGGCATGAGAACATGTGTGCACATACACATACATACAGAAGATGAAAGGAAAGCAGAAACTTCCTCATAAACTTTATTGCTCTCAAAAATCCAATAGTGGGGAACTTCCCCCCAGTATAGGTAGGTTACTGATGTTCAAGCTCAAAGGCTCCAAGAGGACCCATGAGGTACAGTTCATAACTTTCTGAGGAGCTGAGCTCTCAGGATGATCTCATTCTCACTGTTTCATGACTCTGACAACAATGGAGGAAATAATGAGAGTGGAACCCACCAGGATGCTTGAGAGGCTGAAGCCCAAGGCCAGTCTGGAATTTCTCTGGGCTTTCCTCTGGTCCCCAAGGATGTTGGCTTCACGGGTCTGTAGGGATGAAGGCAAGCTGGTGGCAGTGTTTCCAAGGACAAGGAGACAAGGGAAGGGCATCCCTGGGGAGAGGCGAGGTGTGAAAGACCAGTAACAGTGGTGCGGGGTGGAAAGTGCAGGGGTCAGCCCCTCAGTGGAAAAAGGAAGAAAGCAGGGAGCCAGGATGAGGGTGTGGGTCTGGGCAGAACACAGGAGTGGGGAGCAGAGAGGGGACTCCTAGGGAGGAACAAGGGCAGCTACATGGTGAAGCAGGAGTAAATACCCCAGGAGGAAGAAAGGGGGATTGTTAGAGAGGAGCAGGAAGGTAGGGTGGGACAGAGAAGGCAGATCTAGGGGCAACAGGAGTTGGTGGTAGCTGGATTGTGCCCACCTTGAAGGAGAACAAGAGGGCTGGGATTGCCAGCAGAATGAAGAAGAAGAAGGAAGCAATGGAGAGAAACAAATAATCATTCTCCGGGGGATTCAGGGGCACCAGGACGACTGGCTGCATCGGGTAGACCTTCTGCATCGGATAGACCTGCTGCAGTGGGATAACCTGCACTGGAGCAATCTTGGACTTTCGGTCCTTGGGGTTAGTCTCAGTAGCCATGGACCTTGGCCAGAGGAGGAGACGCTGAGCAGGTGCAATCTGTAGATGAGGGAAATGGGACCCAAAGAGGGGATATCTTAGTTCCCAGGAAATGAGGACTGTCCGAACCAATCCCTCCACCTAGAAAGGCACTGAAAACAAGACACTGTCCCAAACTAGAGGACAGCACACCAAACCAGAACCCACCATACCATATATGTGCCTGTGTAACAGTTTCGATGGCCTATAGCACGATTCAACCCTCCTCTATCCTCTGGTAACTCCTCTGTACCCTGCCCCATTACCCACTCCGTATCTCCCTCTAACTACTTTCCTCCGCTTAACTCTCCCAACATCCTCCACATATACACACTTAAATTTTCTGATAACCCATCACAAACCTAGTTAAGGTGTCAAGGACTTCCCTTCACCTCTCAGTCCCGGAGGCAGTCTCGGGGATTTGAGTTACTGGGCGTGGTTTCCCTGCTGACCACCGCTGCATTATGATTGGCTGCTACCGTATAGTAGTGCCGGTGCTGCCCAGCCAATCCCCTTTCTTCTTGCCTTAATTGATTCGGTGAAAAACTGGACTAGGCATTCGCCCTTTACGTTGTCGTTCCCAAATTGAATTCCTGATTGATTCAACATACAGTGTGTGGGTCTTACTTTCAGATTGAATCTGGGTGCAAAAGGCCGATAGATACGACTACGAGGAGCCTACTGAACACTAGACTTAGGCTGGGCACTGAGGACCGTGTAGTAACTAAGGCAGATGAGACCATGGCTTTCCTGGAATTTACAGTCGCTGGGAGAGAAGGGGAAAAAACACCCAAACAAATAGATGAAACGATTTAATGGAGGATTAAGGCCTACGAGGAATAACTAGAACGAGGAGGGAGAGGGACCCCCAGGGCCCACACGGGACTGCACGGTGGGGTTGAATAGGCAGAAAACGTCCCTCTGAGAAGTAACATCTAAGCTGAGACCTGAAGTACAAGAAGAGCCATTCCCTAGAATATTTGGAGGAAAGAGTTTCAGGCAGGGGAAACAGCAAGTATTAATACAAAGGTCCTGGGGTGGGAAGGAGGTTGCTAAGAACAGGAACAGAAACAAGGGCCATGTAGTCAGACTCAGTGATAGATAAGATGCATAAACAGCACACACAACTGCGCATATCCAAACACACACACAGTCTGCAAGCCAGCAAGTCCTCCTTAGAGTTTTTCACTTTGACGGCTTCCTTTGAATTAATAGCCTTGTGTGTGGCGCTGGTGCAAGAAAGTGAACTGCCTGCACTCATCCCCTTGAACAGAGGCCGAATGATCGAAGGATGCCTCTGTTGCTGGTTCCTTGGCTTGGAGATTCTTTGGTTGAGTGCTTCTCTTGGCTTTTCCAGGCCATTAGAAAATAAAGCTGAGAAAATTGTAAGATGATAACCCTCATGGTTCCATATTCAGCAGAGTGACCCATATTGAAAAGGTCTCATCTGTGACCCACTTGTTCTTGTTAGCTTTCCTGGTCTGTGATGATGGAAGGGAAATGTGCCTTCATGATGTTTGCTCTGGGAGAACTTTGGGGATGGGACCAAAGCCATGGCTGAGAGTGACAGCCTTCCAGTGACAGCCCATAATGTCATAGGATGGAAGAGATGCAGAGGGTGGGGGTTGTCCGTAGAGCATGACACAGGAGAGTGGCAAGAGCTCAGAGAATGATCAGCCTTGACAGAGAAAGCCAGAGATGGAAACTCCAGGGAAAGAATTGAACCTAAACAGTGGTTTTTAAAGCATGGTCCTCTGACCAGCAGAGCCAACATCACCTGGAAATCTCTTTTAAAAACAAATTCTTGCCCACCCTAGACTTTCTGAGTATGAAACCCAGTGGTGCCTGAAATCTGTTTTAATACACCTCCATGCAATTCCAATGCAAGCTAAAGTTTGAGAAACACCAGACTATAGGAATGAATAAGAAAGGATGCACGTGCCAAGGACCCTCTAAATGCTTCACTTTGAGCTCCGGACTTTGTCTTTAGGAGGTTCTTTGGGTTCTGGAAGTACAGAGGCTCTTCAGCTTAGGGTTTTATGTCCAAAAACAGTGGGAAAGAATAACAAAATAGTTTCACCTAAATCAAAGAAAGACATTGAGTCTTCAAGTTGAAAGTACTTACTAGGAATCATTTATAGACAAGCACACATAAATCAAGACATATTGCCACCCAAATCCTCAGTGCCAAGGACATGGGTAGAATTTTACAGGCTTGTAGACTGAACAAATAAGATTTTATTCTAAGTACTGTGGAAACCTGTCATGGGGCTATACATTTTTGAGGTTCTTTGGATACCCTAAGCAGAATGGACAGTGGGACACAGTAGGTTCCTGATCTTCTTATGGGTACAGAGTCTGGAGACCTTGTGCCTGGAAAGAGAAAGAAGAAAAGCCCAGATTGTGTGGGCTCTCAGCATGTCTTGAGATATTTCTGAAACAGACAAGGTCTTGGGAATGTCAGGAGAGAACAAGCTATGCTTGACTACAAAATTGTGTGTGTGTGTGTGTGTGTGTGTGTGAGAGAGAGAGAGAGAGAGAGAGAGAGAGAGAGAGAGAGAGAGAGAGATGTTGATGGGCTCCCTGTGCCTCCTGGGAAGTTATTGACTCTTGTTGCCTGGTAGGGTGGCCACTGGAGGTGGGGGCTGAGTAGGGCAGTGTTAGGAATCAGACTGACCTCCATAGCTCCTTGCCTTCACAGTTCCAGACAACGTCACATGTCATCAAAACTGAGTCCACATGCAGTCTTGCAAATGTACAATCAAAGCCAAGCACAGTCACAAACTCGCCTACATGAAAAACACATGCATTTTTCTCTCTCACACACAAACCTATTCCACAAACCAGCAGGTCCTTCTTAGAATTTCTAAAGTTTTCAATATTTCTTCCACAATAAAATCCCCATTGAAAGGAGCTAGAAGGAATAAAAGCAGTTAAATCCACTCCTTTTGGTGATCCCCTTTGGGTGAGCAGTGGATATGATTGGCTCAACAGTCTATCATTGGTGGGAATCTTGCCTGGAGGGTCTCTCCGCTTGAGAGTCCTTTGCCTGTGGGGTCTGTTGCCTGAGCTGTTCTTTGTCTATAAAGTTTCTTGGTTGGAGGGTCCCTATCTGATGTTCCCCTTGGCTTTGCCAGATCAGCAGAGAAAGATGAAAATATATATATGATGAGGAGGAAGTTTCTCCAGATTCCATATATTCTCTGCCAGTTGCCTCACACAGAAAAATGTTCAACTCTAGCCCAGTTATTCTTCCTGTTATTTTTCAGTCGGTGGTGATGGAAGAGTGATGTGATTTTTTTAAAGTCAAATGCAGGGTAGTGGGGGTGAGGGTCTTTGAAGACTACAGTAGGGACAACAACCCCCACCCTCAAATTCCTAAGATTAGAAGAGAAGACTTGCAGGGAGTAGAGACTTTAGAAAAGGATTTGGGGTGTGGATTTGGGGTATATGTGGGGGGCAAGGTCTTGGGCAATGACAAGTCTTGAAAGAGATACAGACTGTCCAGAACTCTCTCAAAAAGTCTTGATTGAATAAATTTCACAAGGACCCTCAAATTCTCTCCTTTAAAATATGGAACAACATCCAGCCCTTCTTGAATTTTAACTGCTGATTGATACTCCTTGGCAGGGCTCTCTCTCAGCATATTTCCTATTGGTGATTGGCTGCAGACTATAGAAGATGGGTCTTGAATGTATCCCCTCCACCCTGCCTAGAGCACATGGTTGGGGAGGTGTCAGTGGAGCGATGGAGGGAGTAGAGAGAACCCTAGAGGGAGTGGAAGAAGAAGAGGTGAGAGGGGGTACTTAGAGACTAGTGGCCAGTGTCCCTGAGGAAGGGAGTAGTGCTTCAGGAAAGGGCATGGCCATCAGCCATTAGAAGAATCTCCTCGGCTTTGCTCTAAGAAGTGGGAGAGGTAAGCCAGCAGTTGATGGGGCAGTAGAAGTGAAGCAGCGCCATCAGAATCTCCTGGAGGGCTTCTTGAGACAGTTTTCTAAGCTACATCCCCAGAGATCGATTTAGCAGGTCTGAGATAGGACCAATTAATTTGCATTTCTAACAGACCCTTAGGTGTTGTGCCTCTGGCCCTGAAATCGCAGGTTGATATTCCCGTCTGGTAGCAACCTCTTTCATTAGGTTGCCTGAGGAAGAGGAAAAAGAAGCAGGGCTCCCAATTTCTGAGGTTGGACCGAGGGAAAACGAAGGACAGGGGAGGTTCCCCCACCAACAAAGCAGCAGATTAAATACATCAAGATTCCACCTTTCATGCATGTTCAGTGGTGTCCAGCTCTTTTTAATCCCATGGACTATATAGCACACCTGGCTCCTCTATCCATGGGATTATCCTAGCAGGAACACTGGAGTGGGTGGCCATGCCCTCCTCCAGGGGATCTTCCCGACCCAGGGATCGAACCGGTGTCTCCTGTGGCTCCTGCACTGGCAGGCAGATTCTTCACCACTGAGCCACCAGGGAAGCCTGGGTAAGATTCGTTGGCAACCATTTTGCATGTTAGAGAGTTCTTGGAATGGGGGGAAGTCTGACATCCAAGTTGTTATTCAGTAGATACTACATTTTTTATGAATGCTAAATTTAACAGTTAACCTGATGATGACATTGGTTATGTTATTATGAGATTTATTTGAATTTTTATGAATTCCAAATACTCAGTCAATAATTGTGAAGCCAATTGTGTGTATTTGTGAGTCAAACTTTTTCTATGAGCATCCTTTGGACAGCAAGGTAGTCAAACCCATCAATCCTAAAGGAAATCAACTCTGAATATACATTGGAAGGGCTGATGCTGAAGCTCCAATACTTTGGCCACCTGATGTGAAGAACTGACTCATTTGAAAAGACCCTGATGCTGGGAAAGATTTAGGGTAGGAGGAGAAGGGGGCAACAGAGGATGAGATGGTTGGATGGCACTGCCGACTCAATGGACATGAGTTCGAACAAACTCCAGGAGATAGTGAACGACAGGGAAGCCTGGCATGCTTCAGTGGGGTCGCAAAGAGTCGAACATGACTGAGCAACTGAACAAGAAAGCTCATTCTGGCACTGTGTCCAAAACAGAAGAAAACATTTGCCATTCTCTTCATCATGGGTACTCAGGAGCAAAAGTTTGTTGCCTGTTGCTCCCAAGAACCTCCTATCTAGCCTGTGAAAGGAACCTGCCACCAGCAGCCTGCAAAAGAACTTGTGACTCTCCCAAGAGACCTCAGAAGTTCTCTAATTGACCATCAAATTAGTTTAGGGGCTTCCATTGAATCTGTGGAAGAGAAAAGAGTTCTTTATTAAAGAGAGAGGTCTCTAACTGATACCACTATCCTACAAAGTTTATTAGTTAAATTAAATGATTTTTTAAATTATTTAATTTATACATATATCAATAATTTTAAAATATTCAACAAATCTAAACTTGATATACAGTGCATGCATGCTGCA